TTAATTTTAAAAATGAATTTGGCTCTGGAACAGAGTCACCACTTACTGAGCACTCTACATGCTCACTCTACACTGTAAGAAGTACACTCACCTTCATCTTACGCTATTCTTGTAACCTATCCTACTACTGTAGCTTTCTAATGTATCATTTTTACAGATGGAGGACTAAACCTGAAAGGAATCACACAATTGTTGAAGGCCACACGGCTAGCAGTGGCAGTCCTAGAATAGTCTCATCACAAAGCCTGGGCTCTGGGCTCTTTTTTTTTTTTGACAGCAGAGTGGACAGTGAGAGAGAGACAGAGAGAAAGGTCTTCCTTTGCTGTTGGTTCACCTTCCAATGGCCGGCGCACAGCGCTGATCCGAAGGCAAGAGCCAGGTGCTTATCCTGGTCTCCCATGGGGTGCAGGGCCCAAGCACCTGGGCCATCCTCCACTGCACTCCCAGGCCACAGCAGAGAGCTGGCCTGGAAGAGGGGCAACCGGGACAGAATCCGGTGCACCAACCGGGACTAGAACCCAGTGTGCTGGTGCCGCAGGCAAAGGATTAGCCTAGTGAGCTGCGGCGCCGGCCAAAGCCTGGGCTCTTAACCATACCATAGAAATTAGGCTTGAAAACCATAGAGAGGGGCTGGCACCGCGGCTCACTAGGCTAATCCTCCGCCTTGCGGCGCCGGCACACCGGGTTCTAGTCCCGGTCGGGGCACCGGATTCTGTCCTGGTTGCCCCTCTTCCAGGCCAGCTCTCTGCTGTGGCCAGGGAGTGCAGTGGAGGATAGCCCAAGTGCTTGGGCCCTGCACCCCATGGGAGACCAGGAGAAGCACCTGGCTCCTGGCTTCGGATCAGCGCGGTGCGCCGGCCGCAGCACGCTGGCCACGGCGGCCATTGGAAGGTGAACCAATGGCAAAGGAAGACCTTTCTCTCTGTCTCTCTCTCTCTCTCACTGCCCACTCTGCCTGTCAAAAAAAAAAAAAAAAAAAAAAAAAAAAAACCACAGAGAGAGGGGCAGCATCATGGTTAAGCCACTGGTTGGTTGGGATGCCCACTTCCCTTCTGGAATGCCTAGGTTTCAGTCTTGGTTCCACGCTCATTTCCAGCTTCCTGCTAATGCACACCCTGGAAAGCAACAGGTGATGATGGCTCAAGAAGTTGGGTCCTTGCCACACACACAGGAGACCAGGAGTTCTCAGCTTTTGACCTCAGCCTGACTCGGGCCCTGGCCATTGTTGGCATTTAGGGAATGACCAACAGATGGGAGTGCTTTCTCTTTCTCCACCTCCCAAATTAAAAACAAAAAGAAACAAATAAACAAACAAACAAAAAGAAACGGGGAGGTTAGCCCATCTTGGAGAAGAGCTGCCATCAGTGGAGGATTCTGTGGGATCCGTACCAGGCTGAATCTTTCGCATGCTACAACTTGCTCACACCTGGACATCTGCAGTTTTGACCTATCACTCACTACTGGAAGTCCTGGAGGTAAAAATAAGTACTTTTGTTTCTTTGTTTCCTTTCTTGTCACTTTGTTTAATGATGTATGTTCCCAAGGAACTGCAAAGTTACTGTGAGGCATGGTGTTATCCTGAGAACTGAGAGAACGGTTTTGCAATAAAGAGGATCTAGCCGTCGCCATGGCTCACTAGGCTAATCCTCCGCCTGCGGCGCCGGCACCCTGGGTTCTAGTCCCAGTTGGGGCGCCGGATTCTGTCCTGGTTGCTCCTCTTCCAGTCCAGCTCTCTGCTGTGGCCGGGGAAAGCAGTGGAGGATGGCCCAAGTGCTTGGGCCCTGCACCGGCATGGGAGACCAGGAGGAAGCACCTGGCTCCTGACTTTGTATCAGCGGGGTATGCCAGCCGCAGCAGCCATTAGGGGGTGAACCAACTTTCTGTCTCTCTCTCTCTCTCCACTAAAAAAAAAAAAAAAAAAGGATCTAGCAGAAGCTGCCTCTAGGCCAGCAGCTGCACCTGTGAAAACCTTCCAGCCTCGAGCCACCACATCCAGTTACACAGAAGCCATTTACCAATCCAAATACAGAAGTCCAGGCACTGAAGTCCAGGCACTGACTCCTCTTTCTTCCTTCATTTTACTTTTTTTTTTTTAATTTAAGATTTATGTATGAGGCTGGCGCTGTGGCATAGCAGGTAAAGCCACCACCTACAGTGCCAGCATCCTATATGGGTGCCAGTTCTAGTCCCAGCTGCTCCTCTTCCCATCCAGCTCTCTGCTATGGCCTGGGAAAGCAGTAGAAGATGGCCCAGGTCCTTGGGCCCCTGCACCCACGTGGGAGACCTGGAATAAGCTCCTGGCTCCTGGCTTCGGATCGGCGCAGCTCCAGCCATCGCAGCCATCTGGGGAGTGAACCAGCAGATGGAACACCTCTCTCTCTCTCTCTCTCTCTCTCTGCCTCTCCTCTTTCTGTGTAACTCTGACTTTCAAATAAAATAAATAAATCTTATTTTTTAAAGATTTATTTATTTGAAAGTCAGAGTTACACAGAGAGAGAAGGAGAGGTAGCTCCCCAGTTGGCTGCAATGGCCGGAGCTGTGCCAATCCAAAGCCTGGAGCTTCTTCTGGGTCTCCCATGCAGGTGCAGGGGCTCAAGGACTTGGGCCTCTCCTGTTGCTTTCCCAGGCCATAGCAGAGAGCTGGATTGGAAGAGGAGCAGCCGGGACTCGAACCAGAGCCCATATGCGCTGCAGGTAGTGGCTTTAATTGCTATGCCACAGCACCTGCTCCCCCATTTTACTTCTTTGGCCTGTCTCCTTTTTTTCTCCTTGTCTTCTGTCCTCCATCTCATTGTTATCATTATTTTGTCAGATACAAGTCCTTCAAAGCAAATCCCACTAAGTACCAACTTTTATTATGGGAGACAGTGCCTTTTTTGACCCTTCTTCCCAACTGTCAAATCATCCTATGCCCTGGAAATTTAACTTCCCAATTAATTCCAATATTACCTTCTGGTTCCAAAACACACTCTGTCCGCTGTAATCAATCCCCACCCCCAACCAAAAATCATCCGTGTTCTGTAACAGCCCAAGTCTTTGCTCTTGATGTTATTACATAGCGGGCCCTCTACAGGTTCTCCACAACTCAGCAAACTCCAATCACTAAAAAGTAGTTTTAACACAGACCCTTCGGCAAAGCTTCCCCTGATTTTCCAAACGTGTGAGTGGAAAACTGGAGGAAGAGAGGCGAGGAGGGGTGGCGGGCAGGGGAGGCTTCAGGGGCTGAGAGGTGCAGTATGAGAGTCACCCATGAGGAAGTGGGCACCCAGGACGATGAGGGAAGGAGTTGGAATGACGTCTCCTACTTTGGATCAGCCTTTCATCAAGTCAGGACGAAACCACGTTGGTCTGCTTCAATCTCCCCTCACCCCCTGACAGTCTTTCTGCACATCTTTGCAGAGAAGCTCCTGTGCACCCCAGAGCACACACCCTTCTGCCTCGGTTCCCCGGGACCAGGGCACTGTCCACCGTCCTCCTAGTCCTTTTCGACGGTCTGGCGGGAAGCGCCCCAGCCTGCGCATCCAGACTCCTGCTGGCAGGACGCCAGCGACACGCACTCGGGAAACCGCTATCCCGCAGCGCACTTGCTGCCAGAACTCGACCTGAGGCCGGGTCCACCAGGCCTGTACGGGTTCCCGCCCCTGAAACTCCCGGGGCACTTTGTGTCTGACTTTTCGGCGCCAGCATCTCTTGAGGAACAGAGTGCCCTCTCCCACCCAGACTCACCTCTTGCTGAGAGGCCGGACCCTCACCGCCACCCGCACGTTCGCCATTCCTTGGCCACAACTCAACTCCAGCAGGTGGACCCAGAGGCGGCATCCCGGGCCCAAGCCACAATCCCAGCTACAGCCGGCCCCGCCCGTCCCACGCGCCTCCTCCTGGCCGCCTCCCCCGGAGCGCACGCCACCGCCCGAAAGGGGGAGCCTCGGTCTCTGGTGAACGCTGAGGGCGGGAAGACGGCTCGCCCCACCCACTCTCGTCCCACCCCCACAGGCTTCCAGAGTTGCCTCCGCCCCACGGGGCGAGGCTCTGCTCATGGGGCGGTGCCTTCTTAGCTTTAACCAATCCTGAGCCAGGTGGGCGGGAGCACGCCTGTCCCGCCCTGCTTCACCCCAAGCGACGCTCCGGGGCTCTTATGTGTGTTTGTGTGTTGCTGCCTACTGGGCGGTGCCTGCTTAGCCTCAACCAATCCAGAGCCAAGTGGACGAGGACGGACAGCTAGCCCCGCCTCCTCTCGGTCCACCCCACACACCTCCATTCTAATCGTGTGCCGCTGCCCCGCCCCTCCCCCAGTGTGAGATGGCTACACTTTCAAACATTGCGTCCGTGCTGTAGTCAAGTATATACGTTGTTTTGACTTACGTCCCAAGCTTACAAAAATAATTCACTAAATATTTGTATTCGCTGCGCTGACAAGAGCTGTCAATGCCATGGTTAAATTTTTTGTGGACTTCCCTTACCTACATTGTTCGATCATGCCAGAGGCTGTTCACCTTGGAGACCTGCTGCGGATATGGGTACCGCCCTGCGCGAGATTTGTCATGGTTAAATTTTAGGAGCAAACACGTAATGGAAGCTGGAGGCCCGCGGCACTCATTAAACCCAGACACTCTGGTATTGCATCATATTTAACTGCTAAACCAAATGCCCGCACCTGATGCGAAACACATTTTAAGGCCAAATAGAACCTCCAGTGGGCAAATGAAATAAACTAGAGATAGCTTAGTACTGATGCAAATGAGAATATCCCTGAGCCATTTGTATCAGTACACTTTTAAAGACTTATTTATTTGAAAGGTACAGTTACAGAGAAAGGGAGAGACAGAGCTATCTTCCATCTGCTGATTCACTCCCCAAAAGGCCACCACAGTCAGGGTTGGGTCAGGCTGAAGCCAGGAGCTAGGAGCTTCTTCCAGATCTCCCACACGGTGACAGGGGGCCCAAGCACTTGGGCCATCTTCCGTTGTCCTCCCAGATGTATTAGCAGGGAACTGGATTGGAAGTTGAAGATACACGTAGGGCCAATATGGGGCAACAGCTTCAAAGACCTACTACAATGCCGGTCTCCACCACTCACCATTATTTACAAAAATCTGATGGGTAAATTCCGTGAACATTTTAAAAATTATTTCATCATAATGTGTTTTTTTTTTTTTTTTACTTTCTTCAAACCTTTGTTCTTTGCATGTTCCAAAGGCTGCCAGTAAACACACTCAGAAATGAGATGGGGTCCGTAGGAACACACCCAGGTCCAGTAATTTGCTAATAAGATTTGCAGGACTCAAGCATATCACCATATTCACATATGAAACAAAAGAGCAAATGGAAAAAGTGCATAGAGCAAAGACGGGAAAAGCAGGGTCCTCTGACACAGGAATCACAAAGGATATGCTTCATTCTCCCGGAAAATGCATTGTGACGACCCAATTACTATTTATTCTGCACATTTAGTGAAAACGCTACAGAAATAACCACCATACACATTTTTTAGATTTAAGAAAACTTCTAATTTTTTTTTTTTTTTTTTGACAGGCAGAGTGGACAGTAAGAGAGACAAAGGTCTTCCTTTTCCATTGGTTCACCCTCCAATGGCTGCTGCAGCCGCCGCACCGCGCTGATCCGAAGCCAGGAGCCAGGTGCTTCTCCTGGTCTCCCATGCTGGTGCAATCCTCTACTGCACTCCTGGGCCACAGCAGAGAGCTGGCCTGGAAGAGGAGCAACCGGGACAGAATCCGGCGCAGCCACCGGGACTAGAACCCGAGGTGCTGGCGCTGCAGGCGGAGGATTAGCCTATTGAGCCACGGTGCCGGCCTCTAATTCATTTTTTTAAAAAGATACAGATAATCTAACACCTGAAAAAATGGTTAATTCACTTATTGTCAAAGCAGTATTGGATTTTCACTAGCTTTACTGAAAAGTGGAATGAAAATATATGAAAAACAAAGGAAAAGTCAGTTTGGTCTTCATGAACCTGAAATCCTGGTACTTTATGATGAAGTCCCTTCCATCTTGTCAGCAGTAAAGCCTATAAATATGGATTCATATGACTATACTTAATTAAGCAAAAATAAAGCTAATGATCACCTGACATTAGTTTGGATATGAAGTTTAGAAAATAAAGGTGAAGAAGGCATTACAATATCATGTTTCTGATGATGAGTTCCTTTTTTTTTAAAAAAATATTTATTTATTTGAAAGGCATAGTTAACAAAGAGAGAGGCAGAGAGAGAGAGTCTTCCACCTGCTGGTTCACTCCCCAAATGGCTGCAACGGCTGGAACTGGGCTGATCTGAAACCAGGAACCAGGAGCTTCTTTCGGGTCTTCTATGTGGGAGCAGGGGTCCAAGAACTTGTGCTATCTTCTACTGCTTTCCCAGGCCATAGCCGAGAGCTAGATTGGAACAGCAGCAGCTGGGGCTCGAACTGGCACCCATAAGGGATGCACTGCAGGTGGCAGCTTTACCCGCTAGGCCACAGCACCAGCCCCATGAAGATGATTTTCTTCAGCTAATATTTTGGGAATACAAGAAGAAACTTCCTTTTGTTGTTCTCTCCATTTGAGTATATTCTCTGCCAGTTCTTCTGTCTCAGTCACCAAAATATCCATCTTTGCTAAAGCCTTGCTCTGTAACATTTGAAAAAAAGGGAAAATGGGAGAGATTACATCTGTCATTTATTATATCTCAAATGGTTATGATACCAAAAGCTAACACCTGAGCTTTATCCCGCTTCATAATGCAAAAAATCCTTAAAACTGTGTTCTCCCACTTCTTACAGTATCTACCTTCTCTGTTAGTTCATCTTTGCTTTGCCTTCAATTATCCCCTCAGTATAGATAATTCTCATTGTTACCAAATCTAACCCACTACCTAAAAGCCAGTCCCACATTTAAGGCCTTTGGCAATCTCCATTTAAATGGACAATCAATATAGCAAACTCAATCTAACTGCAGTTCAACAATGATCGATTATTTACTACAGAAGCAAGATTTGTCAAAAAACAAATTCTTCGAGCTGGCATTGTGAAGCAGTGAGTTAAGACACAGCCGCCAATGCTGGCATTTTGTGCAAGCACCAGTCTAAATCCCTGCTGTTCCATTTCCAATCCTGCTCCCTGCTAATGTGCCTGGGAAAGCAGTGAAAGATGGCCCAAATCCTTGGGCCCTTTCCACCCACATGGAAGACATGGATGGAGTTTCGGGCTCCTGGTTTTGGCTTGGCCCAATTCAGACCGTTGCAGCCATTTGAGAGAACTGGTGGATGGAAGATCTGTCTCTCCCTCTCACTGTAATTCTGCCTTTCAAATAAATAAATGAATCTTAAAAAACAAAACTCTTAATTTCTTTAACCCATTCTTGATCCTACTCACCCTCAGTAGGCTAGAAACTTCACTACTTTGTTTATGTCCCTTGTCCAAATAGTAGTCAAGTTCTAAAATCTCAAGTTCCAAAATCTCAACAATTAAATCTACCTAATACTTTGGATTCTTATGCTTCAAATCTTTTATCTGAATGACTTTATTTATTTATTTGAAAGTCAGAGTTACACAGAGAGAAGAGGGGCAGAGAGACAGAGGTCTTCCATCCATTGGTTCATTCCCCAACTGGCCGCAACGGCGGAGCAAGGCTCATCACACTACTCTGTATTTGCCCATGATTAAGATACAGTCCTCATCAAGTTACTCCTCTGCTCTTACAATAAAAAAGACCAACCATTCAGTGACTCCCAAGTACTCAGACAGTAATGTCCAGAGGTTTTTAGTCTGTTTTTTTTTTTTTTTAAGATTTTGTTTTTTTATTTGAGAGGTAGAGTTAGAGAGAGAGAGAGAGAGAGACAGACAGACAGACAGAGAGGTCTTCCATCCACTGGTTCACTCCCCAGATGGCTACAATGGCTGGAGCTGAGCTAATCCAAAGCCAGGAGCCAGGAGCTTCTTCCAGGTCTCCCAAGCAGGTGCAGGGAAGTACTTGGGCCATCCTCTACTGCGTTCCCAGGCCATAGCAGAGATCTGGATTGGAAGTGGAGCAGCCAGGACTTGAACTGGTGCCCAAATGGGATGCCAGCACTGCACGTAGCAGCCTACCTGATATGCCACAGTGCTGGCCCTCCCTCTCAACACCTTTAGACATCAGCCAAAGTGGGGTAACATGTGTCTTCCAAACTACCTGTGCTCCTTGACTTTCGTGTTGATTGTAGGCAAATAAGCTTTTTGATGCATACACAAATTTCACTGATTATTTAAGGTTTAGCTCACTAGTAACTCCTGCATAAAACTTTATTGACATCTTTCTACCTCACATCCTACTCTCTGTCCCCTTAAACTGGAAGTCACCCCTCCCTTCTCTGTGTTCAACAGATAGGATCTCCTTATAACTCTATGTGGAACTTATGAGGCAAATATAATCCTAAAAATGTGTATCCTAAGGCTGTATCACCAAACTTTGAGAATCTAAAGACAGGACTGGTCATATATGTCCACCTTTCACAGTTTATTGTACAAGCATAGCTCTTGCACAATGAAGGTAATGTTAATGTCAAAATAAAAGAATTAATATGACTTCCAAAGTAAAATGATATAACAATGATGTGAAAAAGAAAATATTTCTTAATTTCAAAAATACTTAGCTCACAGGCTGGTGCTGTGGCACAGCAGGTTAAAGCCCCAGCCTGTAGAGCTAGCATCGCATATGGGAGCCAGTTCGAGTCCCAGCTGCCCCACTTCTGATCCAGCTCCCTTCTAAGGCAACTGAGAAAGCAGCAGAGGATGTCCCAAGTCCTTGGATCCCTGCACCCACGTGGCAGACCCGGAAGAAGCTCCTGGCTTCAGGTCGGCTCAGATGAGGCTGTTGTGGCCATTGAGGAGTGCACTAGTGGATGGAAGATCTTGCTCTTTCTGTCTCTCTCTCTCTCTCTCTGTAACTGTCTTTCAAATAAAGAAATAAATCTTAAAAAAAAAAATCTTAGTTCATAAAATTAGCCATCAAAAGTTAAATAAGGGGACCAGCATTATGGCATAGCAGGTAAAGCCACTACCTGTAATGCCTGCATCCCATATGGGGACCAGTTCATGGTCGGCTGCTCCACTTCTAGTCCAGCTCCCTGCTGATGCATCTGAGAAGGCAGCAGAGGACAGCCCAAGTGCTTGGGCCCCTGCCACCCACGTAAAAGAACTAGAAGAAGGTTTTGGCCTGGCCCAGCACTGGCATTGTGGCCACCTGGGGAATGAACCAGCAGATACCTCTCTCTCTCTAGCTCTGACTTTCAAGAAAATAAATCAAATAAAAAAAAAAGTTAAATAATGAAATCACATATTTGAGATTTCAGTATAAAAGAACTAAAGACAGCTGTGTTAATACTCACCATTTTCTTTAGATTTGCATCTAAATGAGGAATATTTCTAATTGTTTCAAGATGAGTTTCTAGTTTCTCAATGAAAGTCACAGCCAACTCCAGCAAATGTACCATGTATCTGAAAGAGGAGGAAAAAGTCAATTATTTTTTAGTTTAATTGTTTTGTGTTTTCTTTCTTTTTCTTAAATTAGGCCTCAGAGATAAGAATTTCCATCATCCTAACAACCCAATAACCTTCCTGCATTTATGGAAATAGCAGGGATTTTTTTAAAAAGTCCTTTCACTTTAAAAAAAAAAATGATTTATTTATTTGAAGGCAGAATTACAGAGAGAAAGATCTTTTATCTGCTGATTTACTCCCCAAAATGCCTGCAACAGCCAGGGCTGGGCCAGGCCAAAGCCAGGAGACTGGAACTTCATTTGGGTCTCCCAGGTGGGTGCAGAGATCCAGGCACTGGGGCCATCTTCTGCTGCTTTCCCAGATGCATTAATAGGGAGCTGCATTGGAAGGGAAGTAGCCAGGACTCCAACCAGTGCTCATATGTGATGCTGGCATAAAGAGGGCAGCTTAGTCCACTATGCTACAATGCTGTTCACATCCACTTTAAGAAGACTTGTTGGGGCTGGCGCTATGGTATAGTAGGTTAAACCTCCACCTGCAGCACTGGCATCCCATATGGACCTCATTTCCAGTCTTGGCTGCTCTACTTCCTATCCAGCTCCCAGCTAATGGCCTGGCAAAGTAGTGGAAAGTGGCCCAAGTGTTTGGGTCCCTGAACCCACATGGGAGACTCAGAAGGAGCTCCTAACTCCTGAGGGGTTTGCACTGGCCCACCTCTGGATACTGCGGCCATTTGAGGAGTGAACAAGGGGATAGAACACCTCTCTCTCTCTGCATCTCCCTCTATCTGTAATTCTGCCTCTCAAATAAATAAATCTTAAAAAAAAAAAAAATTCATCACCCACATTGAGAAACAGAAAGAGGCAACACCAATCATATCTGAGCCCACCTAATGTTACACAAGCCACAATGGTAATAATTTTCTCATTTAAGAAAAAGTATTTCAAGACCAGCATTATGGTGTAGCAGGTTGAGGTGCTGCTTGGGATGCCAGGATTCCCTATCAGAGTGCTGGTTTGAGTCCCAGCTGCTCCTCTTCAAATCCTATTCCCCGCTAAGGCACCTGAGAAAGCAACAGAGGATGGTCCAAGTACCTAGGCCCCTCCCACCGGTTGTAGACCAAAAAGAATCCCAGGCTCCTGACTTCGGTCTGGCCCAGCCCCAGCCACTGGGGCCATCTGGGGAGTGAACCAGCAGATGGAAGATCTCTTTCTCTGTCACTGTGCCTTTCAAATAAATAAATAATTAAATCTTCATTTAAAAAAAGATATTTCCAGCCAGCGCTGCGGCTCACTAGGCTAATCCTCCGTCTTGCGGCGCCGGCACACCGGGTTCTAGTCCCGGTTGCCCCTCTTCCAGGCCAGCTCTCTGCTGTGGCCAGGGAGTGCAGTGGAGGATGACCCAAGTACTTGGGCCCTGCACTCACATGGGAGACCAGGATAAGTACCTGGCTCCTGCCATCAGATCAGCGCACCGGCCGCGGCGGCCATTGGAGGGTGAACCAACAGCAAAAGGAAGACCTTTCTCTCCGTCTCTCTCTCTCACTGTCCACTCTGCCTGTCAAAAAAAAAAAAAAAAGATATTTCCCCATTCTTTGTCAATGTATTAATTCTCAGTGAAGAAAATAAATATCTCATTGAAATATTCTATACATAAAGCTACACTTCTGCATTTGCAAAATGCTTTCAAATCATTACTCAGTCTTTAATGTAGTATATTTACATTAATGGTAGTATACTGAATATAGCCACAAGAATGGGGTTATTATACTATTTTATTACAAAATAAAAAGTTTGGCACTTAAGATACTGATTTGCTTAGGGTCAGCTAACAAAGTAGTGGTGGAGAAAGTCAATAATCAGATGTCTAAATATTTCTTTTTCATTATTTATTATTAACAGTTTGCTATATTTTCAATTTGATACTTGCAATACTTCAATGAGGAAGACAGCAATAAAAATGATCCCAATTAGGTGCTGATGTTGTGACATAGCAGGTAAAGGTGCCACCTGCAACACTGGCATCCAATATGGATGCTGGAAGTAGAACAGCCAGGACTTGAACTGGTGTCCATATGAGATGCCAGCACTGCAGGCAGCGGCTTTACCTGCTACGCCACAGTGCTGACCCCTGCTCCACTTTCAATCTAGCTCCCTGCTAATGGCCTGGGAAAAGCAGCAGAAGATGGCCCAAGCATTTGGGTCCCTGCCACCCATGTGGAAGACCTCAATGAAGCTCTTGGCTCCTGCCTTTGGCCTGGTTCAGGCCCAGCCATTGTGGCCATCTGAAAAGTAAACCAGGAGATGAAGATCTTTCTCGCTGTTTTTCCCTCTCTTTCTGTAACTATGACTTTCCAAATAATTAAATCTTAAAAGAAAAAAAATCCCCATTCCATAGATTGCGAAACTAAGGCAAAAATTTAAATAACTTGCCCAATTCTTTGAGACATATAAACAGTAGAGATGAGACTAGAATACTAGAATTCAGGTTTTTTTTTTTTTTTAAATCTCTTAGTTGCTTTCACTTGCCCCTGGTAAATACTTCCACTAGAAATACACACACAAACACACACACACTATGTGTACCATTAATTCAACAAATTTACTTCACAGAAAAGTCTATGCATATAAAAAAGCACTGCTATCTATCTTTCTATATATTATGAATCTAATTACTTTCACCAAACTCTTTACTTGGAATTTCCAAAATACAATGGCAAAATAAAGTCCTTTCTTTTCATCATGGCTATAATTCCTTAAAAACAAAGGATGTTCCTTCTGTTTTAATAGCATTTATGTTAACAACAATAATAACAAATACATGTCAAGAACTATGCTTCAAACTAACTGTTAATCTAAACAAAGACTACCCTCAGAAAACCTGACAACTGTTACTTTCTACTTTTCAGTCTAACCTGTGATAAACAGCTTCAAGAGGTAAGTTTTCCTGGCACATGGGTTTCAACAGTCTTTGTCTGAGAGACCTCTTCTCTTTGAGCACTGCTTCCAAATGATTATTCATGCTTTGCAGAGTATGACACTTCTGAGCTACACAAATCAGAAAAAGTAATTATAGTTAGTAATAGAACAAGTAAGTTTAGGATCATTAATTTCTTCTTCGAGCTGACATTACCAATGACAAAAATTAATCCTACAGGGTGGGCATTTAGTCTAGCAGTTAACAGGAGTGTACCATAATTCAATGCCTGAGTTCAAAGAGCTTCACTCTTCACTCCAACTTCTTGCTAAAGAAGACCGTAGGAGGCAGCAGTGATAGCTCAAATAACTGGGATCCCACCACCCATGTGGGAGACCTGGACTGAGTTCCCAGCCCCAGTTCTGGCCAGTCTGGTCCCAGCCATTATGGGCATTTCGAAAGGAAATCAGTGGATGGGAGTTCTGTCTGTCCATCCTTCTGTCTCTATGCCTCTCAAATTTGAAAAGAAAGAAAAAAAAATCCTATCATTTCCCTCCTAAATCTTTCTCTTTTGCTATCTTTGATACCAAAACTAATTTCATTTTCATCTACTTTCTCATATTTTTCCTACTGGCAACCACATCCAGTGCTAGATTTTTTTCATGTTTTTCAACTCTACCTCTTATTCAGTTTCTATAGCCATAGCCATTTTCTTCATATAAAGTCTCTTTCCCTATCTCTGTCTCTAATATCTTACATGGGGGCATCATAAAACAGTCATCTTAAAAGCTATTTCTGGGGCTGGCGCTGTGGTGCAGCAGGTTAACGCCCTGGCCTGAAGCGCTGGTTCAGTTCTGGCTGCTCCTCTTCTGATCCAGCTCTCTGCTATGGCCTGGAAATGCAGTGGAACATGGCCCAAGTTCTTAGGTCGCTGCACCTGCGTGGGAGACCCAGAAGAAGCTCCTGGTTCCTGGCTTCACATCAGCTCAGCTCTGGCCATAGCAGCCATTTGGGGAGTAAACCAGTGGATGGAAGATCTTTCTCTGTTTTTCCCTCTCACTGTCTGTAACTCTCTGCCTCTCAAATAAATAAAATCTTTAAAAATAAATAAAAATGAAATTTCATTATATTAAAAAAATTTAACATAACACTACCAATACAGCACATATTTAAATATCACCAAGTGTGCCAATAACATCCTTTATAGCAAAATGAATTTTTTTTATCAAATAGTCAAGTCCAAGATCATACAGTTCGCATGTCCCTTTAGTCTCCTTTAGTCTGAAAATTTCCTAGCCTTTGTCTCTCAAGTTTTTTTGCCTTTGAGGAGGCAGCTTGGTTACTCTCTTATGCTATCTGCAGTATCAAGCCAACAGTACTTTGAAATGAGCATAAAAATAGATGATTTTGGGGCCAGCACTGTGGTACAGAGGGTTAAAGCCCCAGCCTGCAGCGCTGGCATCCTATATGGATGCTGGTTCAAGTCCTAGTTGCTCCACTTCTGATCCAGCTCCCTGGTAACGCACCTGGGCAGCTAGCAGAAAATGGCTCAGATCCTTGGGCCCCTGCACCCCTGTGGGAGACCCAGAAGAAGCTGCTGATTCCTGGTCTCGGATCAGCCCATCTCCAGCCACTTCAGCCATTTGGGGAGTGAATCAGTGGATGGAAGACCTCTCTCTCTGTGTGTGTCTCTACCTCTCTGTAACTCTGTCTTTCAAATAAATGAAATACATTTTTAAAATAGATGAATTTTTTATATTTGGGGGCAATATTTGGAAGTACTATAGTTTATCATAATTTTGCTACCTTGTGTTCCTTTACACAATATAAGAAAATGTTGAAATTCTAATGATTACCCTCTTAACCAAAGTACTTACCCAAATATAAGGGATGGACAATATCTGCTGTATCTTTTTCTAGTTTTAGGAGTTCTATTTCCAGGTTTTTCTGCGTTTGGAACAAAATTAACATTAGCTCACTCAGAAAATATCCTGAAGTTAAAGGCTTCAATTCTGACAAACGTAGACAGTTTTGAACATGCTAGAAGGAGAATATTCCTTATGTGAGATGCAAGGAAGATTTGTTCTAAGAGGCTTTTTATTTTGGTATTCTTGTCCTGCTGCTGCTATTACTACTACAAGCAAACACCTATCTACGTATATGCTACACACTGTTCTAAGTGCAAGAAATATGCTGTTTGAATCAATTTTGTCTTTTTTTAAAAAAGATTTTATTTATTGATTTGAAAGTCAGAAATACAGAGAGAAAAGGGGGGAGAGAAAGACAGAGAGTAATCTTCTATCCATTGGTTCACTCCTCAAATGGCTGCAATGGCCAGGGCTGGGCTAGGCCGAAGCCAGGTGTCAGGAGCTTTTTCCAAGTCTCCCATATAGGTGCAGGGCCCAAATACTTGGGCTATCCTTACTGCTTTCCCAGGTGCATTAACAGGGAGCTGGATCAAAAGTGGAGCAGCCACTTTGGGGATGCCAGCGTATGGGATGCCAGCACTGCAGACAGAGGCTGAAACTTCTACATCACAGAGCTGGCTCCTGAGCCAATTAAGTTTTTTTTTCCCCCCTATATCAGAAGTATAAAGTGAAAAGTTCAACACAATTTACCTGGGAGATTTCAGCTTGAATATTTGTGATCTGTTGTAGTCTAGAGAAGTTCACAAAGCAAGGGTCTGTTTTCTTAGATATACTTAAGATCTCCTATTGGCAAATGAACAGGAAAAGCAACAGTAAGTCACAAAAGTTTCTGTGTACATTGCAATAGCATGCCCATGGGTCTAACTATAAGAATATACTAAGCCCAGCATGAAGTACAGAATAAAACAGAAGCAACGTGTATTTCTTGTTTTTGTGACTTTACTGAATATCCCAAATCCCTTACCCAAATATTTAAAAAGCAAAGAGAAACAAAGAAGACAACCACTAGAACTACTTCTTCAGGCACCTACACAATAGATTTGCACTACTGATAGCTGCTCAAAGGATTCTAAGGCTGAGATTCTTGGAGAATCACCTCTACCATTCCAAATGATGTAGCTCTAGTCTCTCAGACTTTCCTGGGGCTAAAATCTCATTCCCTCCTATGGAATTACTTACTTGAGTAACTAAACGATCTTGACTGGTTACAAGTCATTCATATTGTCTCTGTGCACAATCCTGTTCTCTTAAAGGAATGTTTGGGGCAAAGGAACATTATGGTACAGTGCCTTAAGCTGCCAACTGTAACGTCAGTGTCCCATATGGGTGCTGCTTTTGAGTCCTGCTTGCTAATGTGCCTGGGAGGGCAGCAGCAGATGGCCCGAGTGCTTGGGCCCCTGCCACCCTTGTGGGAGACCGAGATGGAGTTCTAGGTTCTTGGCTTCAGACTGGCTCAGCCCTGGCCATTGCAGCCATCTGGGGAATGAACCAGCAGATGGAAGATCTGTTCCTCTGTCTCTCTGTCCCTCTCTGTAACTTTCCTTTCAAATAAATAAAATCTTAAAAAGAAAAGGAATGTTTGTGACTAGGCATAATTATTTTTCTAAAAAGGCTACCACCTCTTTTTTATCCTTTTAATCTTTTTTTTTTTTTTTTTTTTTTTTTAAGATTTATTTATTTGAGAGGCAGAGTTACAGAGAGGGAGAGACACAGAGAGCAGTCTTCCACTTGGCTGGTTCACTCCCCAAATGGCCACAACGGTCAGAGGTGGGCCGATCTGAAGCCAGGAGCCAAGAGCTTCTTCCGGGTCTCCAACACAGGTGCAGGCACCATCTTCCACTGCATTCCCAGGCCATAGCAGAGAGTTGGATCAGAAAAGGAGCAGCCAGGACTAGAACCAGCACTCGTATGGGATGTCAGCGCCACAGGCAGAGGATTAACAACCTACTGCGCCACAGCACCGGCCCCTCCCATTCTTATTTTTAACTAAGATCTATTTTCAATTAACAGCACGGGCACCCCCTTTGATTCTATCAGTCTGTTATATCACCCTCTTAAGTTGCAGTTTATCTCCTAATACAAATACTCTTATTCACTCTTGACATCATTCTTAATTTCCTGTATCCTCTTTTTTTCCAGAATCTTAACACAAGAATTTTAGAGATCATACAGGCTAGGGATTGAGAAACTACAGCCCATGAACAAAATGTAACCCATTGCCTGTCTCTGAACAGCCCATAAGCTAAAAGTATTTTTCATATTTTCAAAGGAGTTTTATGAAAGAAAAATCTTATTTTGTAATACATTAAAATTACATGAAATTCCAATTTCATGATCTAGAAATGAAGATATATTTGAGTAACTTCTTGTATTTATTTACATACTCTCCCTGACTACTTTTACACTACAACTGCCAAGTTGAATAACTGCAACCACAAAGTCTCAAACATTTATTCTTTGGCCCTCTATGGTAAAAGTTTACTGACCTACAATAATCAATTCTACAAACATTTACTGAGTGAGGCAATGGAAGATACAAGGATGAGTGAAAGAAGTTCACTGCATTCAAGAAGTTCATGATGGATTAGGGGGTAAGGATATCTTATTAAATTTTACCTGAGAGGCAGAGAGACAGAGTTCCCATCTGTTGCTTCACTCCACAAATGCCCACAATGACTGGGAATGGCCAAGGTTGAAACTAGGAGCCAGAAATGCAACCCAGGTCTTCCACACAGGTGGCAAGAACTTAATTACCTGAGCCATCACTACTGCCTCCCATAGTCTACATTAAAAGGAAACTGAAGTCAGGAGCTTGAACCAGAAAACAAACCCAGATTCTCCCATGTGGGACATGGGCATCTTACCCACAAGGCTAAATACTTGTTCCAGGAAAAGGTATTTTAGATAGGAAGAACAGAACACTGGGACCTGCGCTGTGGTATAGCAGGTTAAGCCTCTGCCTGCAGTGCTGACATCCCATATGGACACCAGTTCGAGTCCAGGCTGTTCCACTTCCAAGCCAGCTCCCTGCTAATGCACCAGGGAAAGCAATGGGAGATGGTCTAAATGCTTAGGTCCCTACAACCACGTGGGAGACCAGGAAGTTGTTCCTGGCTCCTGGCTTTGGCCGGGCCAAGCCCTGTTGCAGCCTTCTGAGGAGTGAACCAGAGGACAGAGATATCTCTCTCTCTCTCTCTCTCTCTCTCTCCTTCTCTCTGTATCTCTTGCTTTCATATAAATTTAAAAAAATAAATCTTAAAAAAAAATTACACAAAATTTCAAATGCTCATTGGGGCCAGCACTGTGGCATAGCAAGCTGAGTCTCTGTTCACGGCACCAGCATCCCAAATGGGTGATGGTTCGTGTCCTGGCTACTCCTCTTCCAATCCAGATCTCTGCTTATGGCCTGGGAAAGCAGAAGATGGCCTGAGTATTTGGGCCCCTGCACTCCCGTGGGAGACCTGGAAGAAGCTCCTGGCTCCTGGCCACGAATCAACCCAGCTCTGGCCTTTGAGGCCATCTGGGGAATGAACCAGTGGATGGATGACCTTTCTGTCTCTCCCTCTCTCTGTAACTCTACCTCTCAAATAAATAAATTCTTTTTAAAAATGCTCATTAACTGTCAGTATTAATATATATGTGAGAAGAGGAGGATGAAGCTGGAAACAGTTTCTTAACAGTCATAAAAGATCTTGAATGCTATACCAAATGAACAAAAATTAATGTTTTCCATTTCCAGTGAAAAAATAACAGATCAAATATAATACACATTTTAGCAATCCAACTGGAATAGAATGAAAAATAAAACTAATGGAGAGCCAGGAATTAGTGAGGAAGGAATGGTGAGTGACTATCTAATGAGTATGGGGTTTCCATGTTAGGTGATACACATCTTTTGAAAATAGTTGTGGGGCTGGTGTCATGGGGTAGCAGGTTAAGCTGCTGCCTGTGACACCAGCATCCCATATGGGTGCCAGTTCGAGTCCCAGCTGCTCCACTTCTGATCCAGCTCCCTGCTAATGATCTGGGAAAGCAGTGGAAAATGCCCCAAGTGCTTGGGCCCCTGCACCCATGTGGGATACCTGGAAGAAGCTCCTGGCTCCTGGCTTTAGCCTTACCCAGCCCTGATCATTATGGCCCTCTGGGGAGTGAACCAGCAGATGGAAGATTTCTCTTAATCTCTACCTCTAACTCTTTCAGATAAATATTTTTTAAAAAATTAAAAAATAGTTGCACAGTACTGAGTATAATTTAATGTGACTGAATTATATAAAGATGGTTAAAATGATAAATTTTGTGTTATGCATATTTTACCACATAACTATGCATATATTTTAAAAACCAGTAGAAAGATTGGTAGCTAAGTATTTAAATTGGTTGCTGCTTGAGTATTATAGGTGAGAAGGTAAGAAGGTGGACTAACCGCACAGCAGACTCATGGAATGATAATCACTTTAAATATCACTCTGACCTCAGAATCAGTCCTTAGGCACTCTCTCCTGGCTAAGAAGTCCACAAGAGCATTTCAGGCATGGAAAACCAAGACACTGTGGCAAAAATGTCCTACATGAAGGACCTCAGTGGAAAGAAGTAGTCATCAAAGGAGGTACTTTTCTCTCAACGGAGGAGAGAACTTCCACTTTGCTTACGGCCTTGTCTAAATACTGATGGAGTTTGTGGATTCAAAAGGCTTCCACAGCCTAGGCAGCTCATGTTAAGAGCCTCCGGTGATCACTGATGTCATACATATGAGTGCTAATTGTTAAATTAATAAGAGTCACTGTGCATTAAGTTCCCATGCAGGATCTCTGTCCTCAAAGAGTCGTATTATAATTAGGTCTACATGCTCGCAAAAGATGTATCATCCTTGGGTGCTTCTTTAAAGTTAATTAAGTTTTCTAAAAAAAAAAGTTAACTTCAAGTTGCAATGACTCTGAACAGCCCTCCTCTCAACTGTTGAGGAACATTTTTTTTCTTTTTTCTGTGCAAACTTTTGAACTCTTTACTAGTATAGGGTTGGTCTTTTGTGTATAAAGTTCTTCGAAAATGGAGAAAGGGATTGGGAATAGGAGAGGGAGGAAGAGGGATGGGGGAGAGTGTGGGGGGGCGGGTATGGTGGGAAGAATCACTATATTCCTTTTTTTTTATAGAAAGCTTTTATTTAATAAATATAAATTTCATAAGTACTACTTTTGGATTATAGTGGTTTACCCTCCCATACCCACCCTCACACCCCCAAACTGTCCCACCTCCTACTAACTCTCCCATCCCATTCTTCATTAAGATTCATTTTTAATTATCTTTATATACAGAAGATCAACTCTATACTAGGTAAAGATTTCAACACTTTTTACTCAAAGTATAAAGTATTGTTTGAAGACTAGTTTTATCGTTAATTCTCATAGTACAACACATTAAGGACAGAGGTCCTACATGGGGAGCAAGTGCACAGTGACTCCTGTTGTTGATTTAACAATTGACACTCTTATTTATGATGTCAGTGATCACCCAAGGCTCTTGTCATGAGGTACCAAGGTATTGGAAGCCTCTTGAGTCCACAAACTCTGACATTATTTAGATAGGGCCATGAGCAAAGTGGAAGTTCTCTCCTCTCTTCAGAGAAAGGTAACTCCCTTCCTGTGCAGCTAATATTAGATTATTGACAGCAGAGTGGACAGTGAGAGAGAGAGACAGAGAGAAAGGTCTTCCTTTGCCATTGGTTCACCCTCCAATGGCCGCCGCGGCTGGCGCACCGCGCTGATCCGATGGCAGGAGCCAGGTAC